GACATACTTGCAGCAATGGCTATTAGCAAACCAGGGGCACCCAATTTCTTAGTCAACCTCCGGACGAGGTCATAAAAGTAGTAGATGATGATGTTATTGGTGTCCCATTATGGCGACAACTGATGTAATAACTTGTATACTTGTGTATCCCCTTCCTTTATAAATAAATGTTTTTAAAAATCATGCTTTGAGCTTATTTAAAGCCTACATGTTAAGTCTTTTCAAAAATTTTGATAAGTATTTCTAAATAATTTTAGAAATATACCTAATACAAAACTAATATATAACTACATAAGTATATCATCATAATGCAACACATAATAACATTAAAACATAAAATAAAATAAAATAAGTCATGACTTTAGCATGCTCATTAACTTGTTTAGGAATAAATTTAATTGTATCATTGCTTGTCATCCTATATAATCTCATAAATAGTTAACAATCAACTTACATAATTAAGTCGTGACACTTTATTAAATATTATAACAGTAAGAACAATTAATAAACAATAAGAACACTTATCAAAATTAACAACAATGTTTATAGTTGAATCAAAATTTAGAATGAAATTTTGGAAGTGGAGGGTTAGGGTTTGGTAATTATATATACTTGGAGTTATATTGTAAATATTGTTGTAATTCGGCCTATCAACTTGTTAGTTCTCGCGTGATAGTTGTACGGTAACGCATCGATTGTATGTATGAAGAATATTGCAATATGGAATGGAAGAGTAGAGAGAAAAATATAACACAAGAATGTAGAACTCAAGAACACAAGTTCTCTCTTTCATTATGCCTTGAACATGTATATATATACATCTATATAACCCTTCATTTTCTATAACATAAATAATGGAATAAATATAAGGCAAATGAAAGGTCTTGTGATAATGGCCATAATAATAATAATATTTATAACACTCCCCCTTGGCCATTATCAAACTATACTCATGCCTCGTTAAAAACCTCGCTAGAAAAATCCAGTGGGAAAAACCTAGACGAGGAAAAGAGTACACGAAGTATGTTGATCCATGTGTTGCACCGGTTGCCTCATTAAAAAACCTTAGCCTAAGAAAACCCAGTGGAAAAAAAACTTAGCCAAGGAAAAGAGTACAAACATAAGCCTTCTGGGTATAATCTTCAAGATTTCAAGAGTCTTCAGGACTATCCACTCAAGTGCACCAACATCGGTTGCCTCATTAAAAACCTTAGCTTAAGAAAACCCTGTGGGAAAAACTTAGCTAAGGGAAAAAGAGTACAATATTCGTAGCATAATATTCAGGATATCAAAAGTCCTCTAGATTGTCCATTCTAGCACAGCTAGGCGTTGTTGCTCCCCCTGAAGATAACAATCTTCTAAGCCCACGCATCCCAATTTTATGAACATATTACTCAAAAATGGATGTAGGCAGAGACTTAGTGAACATATCTGCAAGATTGTTCAGTGGGGAAAACATTCTCAATAAGAATTTTACAACTCTTCTAGAGTTCATGTGTGTAGAAGGACTTAGGTGCAACATGTTTTGTAAGGTTCCCCTTAACAAAACTATTACTTGCTTGTGCAACACAATCTTATTTGTCCTCATATGGGACATTGGGGGTAAAAGTATAACATAACCAGTTTTGAACTTGGCATCATAGGGATAAAATAAAAGAGCTAATGCCCAAGTTGCCCATCAAAACCACATATTGGTTTCTCACATAAACGTCAAAATCTTTGTACCTCGAAGGTGTTGGAGGATATGTTAAATACCATTCCAATTTTCATTGTAGGGAGAAGCACTAAATCTTGCTAGCAATTTCATCGCAAATTCAATATCAGGCCTGATGCGATTATGGAACTTCTAGTTCAATAATAGTGCTCCAATAGCAATGAAGTAATGGACTTCCAGTCCCTAAATATCCTCATTATAACCTTCGAGTCTAAATGGTCATTTATCTACTTCAAGAGATTATTGGACAACCGTTTGTGCGATAAGTAAATAATACTTGTCTATATAAAACATCTTCAAGATATTTTTCAAGTAGGCTAACTGGTGTATAAAACTTCTTCAATGAGAAGCTCGATCTTTAGGTCGAGACAATACTTGGATTTCCAAGTCTTTTATTTTAAAACTGCATTTTTCGGCATGAGCTAATATCACCAAGCTCTCTATGTGTTTCAATGATATTTAAACCGTCAATATCGACTGCGATGATAAATAAATAACTCCATTAGCAATTCTTTAACGAACACATAATGGTACATATTATTTATACATTCCTTCTTCGGGAGGAAAACACTCAGTCAATAATATTCAAGTCATACAAAGACTTTAGTAGTTTAATGATACACGTTGAGATTTTCACTTTCCACATTCCAAAAGTGTTGAATCCATCGGGGATTTACAAATAAATATTAGCGTCTAATGACCAGTAAATTACGGTCATGACGTTCATCAACTGCATATCTAAATTCATAATTCACTGCCAATAATGTTAATTTGCGGAACGTAATGCCATATGTTGTGGGAGAGAATATTTGATCAAAATCAATTCAGGGTCTCTGCGTAAATCCTTAAGCTACCAGTCTCGCTTTATATCATACCACCATATTGTTTGTATTTCTCTTTCGTACAAACACCCATTTGTAACCTACAGGGTTAACATTAAATGGTGTACGTGTTATAAAGAGAATACAGTTTTAGCGAGCTGAGCTGTACATGCCTTAATTGCTCCGTTATACATAAAAAAATACCAAGGCACAACTGGTGCCTAGCTCTGGATCCAGATTCTCATATAACGAGAACAATTTGTAAAGGCAATTCTGTTGTCGACAACTATAACATTTTTCATAAATCTCTCCCATATATATATAAAATAATGGCAATTTCTAATTCAACCAGACTCTAGACATTTCCCAAAGATATTTTTATCTGGTCGTTCCGCATCCCAGTATTATGATTTTGGGTGCACCTATAATTTTACTGGGATTTTTCGCCTTCCGAACGAATGTCTTCTGGACGAATATCTGCAGGACATACTTCTTTAAGCGATTTCAAGAATGACACCATTTTCTACTAGATTTAGCTTTCCGCGGATTATACCAACATGTCTCCACGCTTCTGGCGTCAAGGAGCATTAGTAGATACATATGGTCCAAGTTGGGGAAAATATGTAGGACCTAGTCACTCCTTTTATGATCAATATATATATTGGCAGATTAATTACCTTCTGAACTTCTAGTTCAGTTTACTTCTTCTGAACTTCTAGTTCAGTCTACCTAGTACGTGGATTTAAATATTGAAGATCAATCATTCATAGAATTTCTCGGCATTCTATAAAATTTGAGATCTTATCTCCCCCTAATGCCGTGAAATGATCTTCATAAAGTGTGCAATCAGCGTACCTAATTATATATTGATCCCGTATCATGGGCTCTAAGAATTTAAATAACAGACGGAGGTTTATAATCAACATATACATGCCCACAAAGGTACGCTATGGTGGTGATATAGGAAAAAGACTGCACACTGTGAATAAAACGCAGATGGGAAATGTTTGGTTTTATACCACGTACTAGGTTCTAGGGGAATAATTATGATATGCAGTAGGTGAGATTGTGATAACCACAATAGCATATAAAACTGATGTCCCCAACAAGAAAATATATAATCAGATATGAAAGCATACATATCAAATGATATTATAAGGGTACACAACAATCATAGGGAAGCTGTGAAGCTTGTCAAATAAAATAGATCTTCAAGATTTCCCAAAAATCCTTATCCTCAACTTTACATTAGTTCACTCACTGGTTTGGGAATTGCTTTGTGCAAATTCACATGATATAATTCACTCCCCCATTTGCTTCGGGCAAACTAATATGAAATGATTTATTCCTTCGTTTGCTTCGGGCAAACTGATATGATATCATTTTCTTCTATCTTTCAAATTAATAACATCTAAATCAATCATATCATGTAAGGCATAAGTCAAGGATCATTCTTATAAAGGAGTATACCACTCCTTAAACAACACAGAATTGCACTAAGCCATAATCGGAGAGGGATTTGTCATGTTGACATCTTAAATTTAGTCAAAAGATGATTATCATAATTTGTTGATAATAGCAATCCTTCCGGGATTGATATAGGATTTATGGAACAAATAATAATTCAATTTTGAATTAGCAACCGGTCAATTGCATACGAGAGTCATGTTGCATGCATGAGAACAAAATTGAGTAAATAAGCATGCAAATTAAGAGGAGTAACTCCGAGAAGTAAACTTCCTCCGGAAAATAAAGTTCCAGAAAGTAAAAAACATTCGAAAAGTAAAATTTCAAGAAGATTAGAAAGTTAAGCTTATAGAAGTAAACTTTCCGAATAGTCACTTCGAGTAGTAAAATTAGCAAGGAAAAAGTGAAAAACAGCAAAGTAAAATCACTTTGCATTCATAATAATTTGCGTCCAAAAAAAACTTAACTTTTCGAATATTACGGTCATGAATTAACTTTTCGGATGCTTCAGGCATAAACTAACTTCTCGGATGCTTCAAGCATAAGCTAACTTCTCGGATGCTTCAAGCATGAGATAACTACTCGGATACTTCATGCTTCAGGCATGAACTAACTTTTTTTGGCCATGAATATATTTTCATGCATTGTTCAAAACATTATCATGACACCAATCATTTCTTCATCAATACCTCGTCATTTCATTATCATCATTTATCGCAATATTTGCTTCAGGCAAATTAGCTAGAATCATCAAGATGAGGTTCATTCTCCGATGAGCAAATGCTTTAGTGCGCGGCACGTAGGGATCAATACCCTTCAGACCCAATTGTTAGCAAATCTGCTTCTGGCTAAGATTTTGCCTCGATAAGTTTGGTCATCCTTGAATATCTTGATCACTTTATTTCTTATTCTGAGCTCGAAACTCATACCACACTGGTTATAATCTCGACCACAACCCCTTATGAAGTTACTCAACTAGATAACATTATGTGCTTCAGGCACCTGTGCAAAATCAACCAAACATGCACTTTGATTCTTCATCAACAACTAGTTATGTTTCTTAGCCACAAGAAGTGCTAAAATCACCTTAGGATGCTTCTCATAATTTGTTGTCTTGTACTATTGCTGGAGTACAAATTACTCACACGAAAAGTTGACAATGTCTTTTCAATTAAATATTTCTCTAAAACTTCTTGTTTAGAGTTTCACTTCTGAGACTATTTTGTGCAGAGCTGAATTATAGTCAGTTACTGACTTATAATCTTAAAACTTAAGATTAATCTAGTCAAATTGTGTCCGAGGAAGGACAATAGATGACTACTAGTCAAAATGGTCCTTCAGGGACTTACATAACGCAATAGGGACTTTTTCAATCAAATACTCATTTTTAAGATCGTAGTTCAAGTAGTGACGTATGAAAATGAGAGCTTGTGCCTTCTGGGCATCGATGCTCTGTGACTTAGCAAAAAAAGCTTGGCTCAATTCTTTGGATGCCAAATAAATTTCAATATCTAGAACCCAACAATTGCTTCCTTCATAAGCGAGTTCAATAAATTCACATTTGACAATGGAAGACGTAATCTACAAAACATATATCATATATTCTCATATACGTTCATAATATCACATGTTTATAGCAAAATAAAGAATTTAATATCTTCTAGATGCAAAACGAACTTTCCGGGATGAAGTCAAAATATAAAATCTAAAAACAAATTGATCTTTCGAATATACACAAATTAAAAACGAAATGGTGCAACACGAATCGGTGAGGCAAACACCAAATTGATGCAGCAAGCATCGACTTGTGTTTATAGCATCAACTCGTGCTACAAGCAACAAGGCACGAATCGGTGCGGCAAACACCGAATTGATGCACCAAGCATCGACTCGTGTTTATAGCATCAACTTGTGCTACAGGCAACAAGTAGTGCTTCACTCTCCAATACACCAAATTCATGCTCTCAAGTCATCAATTAAGCTTTAAAGTCTTACTCACTCTTAAGCTTCCACAAAATAAACTTTAACAATCTTAATTAAAAATCATTCATTCATTGCCTAATCGGCACAAAAACTAATTGCTAATCACATGCAAACGACATATCATAAAAACATAATAATGCACTACATCATAGGGTATATAACATACAAAGTATGCGAAATGAAAATAATATGTATACATACATTGCATCTTTATACGAAAAGCCACTTCTATTTACACAAACATATATATCACATGCTTTTCTTTCAATTTGAAGAATCAAAAATAAAATTGGAAATATATATAGGAATTTACACAATCATATATATACGAACCAGTATGTGCAATTCATATTTCAAATTTTAGAATCAATATGTATCATATCAATCATGCATTTCATAATTATATCAAGAGGTGTAGAATCAACATGTGCCATATAAAACATGTATTATATAAAAACATGTATTGTAACAGATTCAGGCATACCGTTCACCGAAGATTACGATAGAGACTTGTGCTGATAACGTGTTGTAATTCGGCCTATCAACTTGTTAGTTCTCGCGTGATAGTTGTACGGTAACGCATCGATTGTATGTATGAAGAATATTGCAATATGGAATGGAAGAGTAGAGAGAAAAATATAACACAAGAATGTAGAACTCAAGAACACAAGTTCTCTCTTTCATTATGCCTTGAACATGTATATATATACATCCATATAACCCTTCATTTTCTATAACATAAATAATGGAATAAATATAAGGCAAATGAAAGGTCTTGTGATAATGGCCATAATAATAATAATATTTATAACAAATATAAAAATATATATATAATAGATTTTTTTTTTGAAAGAAAAGATTTCCATATATTACGAAATCAAATAAGAAGTAGAGTCAGCCACAGAGTCCCAATATATCGTGCTAGCCTGATCAAAGGCCGCAGAAGCTAGTGTGTGAGCAAGCAAATTAGTTGTTCTAGGCACATAACTAACTAAACAAGTAGTAAAAGTAGATAACGAAGACTTGCAATCTGAGATAATGAAGCCAGTATAAGAAAGAAGCTCGCAATGGTCATTTAGCAAGAAACGACGTAATTCAGTACAATCCGTGAGCATCTCCAAAGAAAGATCTCCCCGATTCTTCAGCCAAGATAGCACCTCCTTGCACGCAAAAGCCTCCGCCATAAAAGGAGAATGACAATCTGACAAGGGGCCGCTGATCGCCGAGACAAAAGCACCCCCCGGCGCGAATAGCACAACACCGAAAGTAGCCCTCCCCGTCGCCGCTCTGTAACCCGCGTCTAAGAAACATCTGGGTCGTGTAAACGGTGGCAGCGACAATGATCCAGCAGACGTGGACGCCCTAGCATTGTTCGAAGCAGAGGACGCCGGAGCGTCATGAGCAGCCTACCATGCAGCCAGCGTAAACCGCGCCACCGCTCCTATTTTCTCCAGTCTCGGCAGAGACTTCTCCCATACGGCCGAGTTCCGTGCTCTCCAAGTGTGATACATAGCTGCGACAAGAAGATGAAAGTTATCCTCAGTAAACAAAGCCATGGCACTGGTTATCCAAGCATGCAGCGTGCTGCCGTGAATCGAGCCGGTAGGCAAGGCCAAGGCATTCAAAACCCGGAGAGTATAATCACAGATCAAGAAGACATGTTTGGTGTCCTCATTATCAACACCACACATGGGGCAGACTAGGTTATATCGACTCTTCTCGTAATTAAATTAGCTGTAGTAGGGAGAATATCACAAAGCGCCCTCCACATAAAGGTTTTCCATTTTGGGGAGATTTTTAATTTCCATGGAGCAATCCATTTACCAAACGCCCCCGACTGCGTCTCTAAAGTCCCAACAATGCACCTATACCCATTCTTCACTGAGTAACACCCCCTGGGATCATCATGTCGATACCAAGAATCCTCATAATCAGGGCAAACGGGGATGGAAAGGATTCGGGCCACATCATCATGCTCAAATAGATCGGTTAAAATATCATAGTCCCACGAACCATATTCCTGGTCCATCAACCCAAAGACCCTTGCACCACTCAATTCCATAGGCATCTCAGTCTGAATCATAGGGTTTGGCTCACCAGGAAGCCAAAGTTGTCCCCATATCAGTGTATCCTTGCCATTACCAATTCTGCGTACCCGCCGGCGGCGGTCTCAACTTCCATCGAGTGCCCGACGGGCAGTCGCCTACCCGCCGGCTGCCCGCTGGAACTGGGCAGTACGGGGCAGCGAGTAGGTGGTGGAGATTTGTCCCCGCACCTACCCCCACTGGTACGAAGGTAAAATTCCAGTTTTGGGGTTCACTCGTGGAACTCAAAACCATGTCCAAACACATTCTAACATGCAACAACAACACCACGGACTCAATTAACGAAGATTAAACCAAGAATAATTCCAAATACGCTCTAACACGATTCCTAAGCATGCCAAGACTAAACATCAATCAAGTAACGGTTCGGGAGCATCCGGAACCTCAAGAACATCAAGAAATCTATATGCAAAGTCCTAAAGACAAGTCCTAGGCTAGACTCAACACCCGATCATGCATAAACCCACCCAAATATACCAAGAACATCACAACAACGAGATTCACGATATAAACCCTAGGGACAAGCTCTAGACATAAATAAAATACAAGATTACACATATAATCAATCACAACATCAAGATCACCAAGATTATCAAATAAACACAATATAAATCCTAGGCAAGACTCAATCACAAAATCACACACACAATTATCAAAGGAGCCAATAAATAAGATATAGCAAGGAAAATAGGTTTTGTAAGACATGGGTTACCTCTTAGCCCTAATCAATATCCTTGGCTACTAATGTTCTTCTCTAAGATCTCCCTCCAATAGATTCCTCTAAGTTCGTTGGTGGGGAATTCCTTTGCTAGGTTTCCTCAGGGAATATCTCGCGTGGCATAATTAATTGCGGTAGGGTTTCTAAATGTTTTCTAATCTCCTATATATAGATTCAGGAGTCCTAACTAGAATCTGAATAGTAAAGGCCCACATTTCCTATTCCTAATAGAATTAAAGACTTGATTAATGATAAGGGTCCATGATTCATTGTGGACCATACTAATTAATTAATGGGAATTCTAGTCTAATTAAATCCTTTTTAATTATATGATAACGGAATTAATTTCACAATTAGTCCGGATACGGAGTCCGTAACACGGGGTGTTACAAGGGGCATCCGTCAAGGGGACTCCTTATCGCCCTATTTGTTTATAGTATGTGCCGAGGGTTTGTCTTGGCTGCTTCAACGTCAAGAGGCTATGGGGAATATTCACGGTATTAAGGTGGCAAGGGTGCTCCATCAGCCACACATCTTTTCTTTGCGGACTATAGTCTACTATTTTTCAGGGCAACTGATAATGAGGTACAAGTGATTAAGAGTTGCTTACAAAAGTATAGTGTTGTATCTGGGCAACTTGTGAACTTTGAAAAATCTAGTGTTACCTATAGCACTAATACCTTACCTGCGATGTGTACTCATTTGACTTCTGTTCTAGGAGTGCGCCAAACAGCAGACTTTAGACGTCACCTTGGCCTACCGTCATTTCTTGGACGCAATAAAACAGTCATCTTTCAGTATGTGGAACAAAGAGTGCGGGACATGATATGTTCATGGAGTAAGAAAATATTATCTAAAGCGGGAAATGAGGTTTTGGTGAAAAGTATATCACAATCCATGCCTATATTCACCATGTCCGTATTTTTGCTCCCAAATACTACCTGTGAATCTATTGAGCGGATCTTCAACAGTTTTTGGTGGAGTAAACCGATGTGTAATGCCAGAAATATTCACTGGTTGAGTTGGGCCCGACTTGCTATCCCAAAATGCAATGGTGGATTGGGATTCAAACGACTCCATAATTTTAATGTTGCTTTGTTAGCAAAACAGGGATGGAGATTGCTTGTGAACCCAAATTCCCTTGTGAGTCGTATTATGAAAGCAAGGTATTATTCGAAGACATGTTTCCTTAAAGCCTACATTGGTCATAACCCCAGCTTTTTATGGCGCAACATTCTAGTCGGGCAAGGCCTCCTGCGTCAAGGCTTGATTCGTATAGTGGGTGATGGGAAAGACACTCTCGTCTGGGGTTGGCCCTGGCTAGCAGACATGAACAATCCTAATTTGCTTACAAAATGCATTGAACATCTAAAAAATACTCGGGTTTGTAATCTGTTAACTAATACTGGGGATTGGGATGAAGAGTTGTTGCGTGACATATTTGTGGAGGAAGATGTGGAAAGGATTATGCGTACACCTAAATCAACTGCCCATAACGACACATGGTGTTGGAAAGGGGATTTAAGGGGGTTATATACTGTCAAGCATGGGTATCATCTGCAAACTACCAGTCCTGCAATTTACCTAGTGGAAGCGATTATGGGAGCTGAAGGTGCCTCCCAATGTCAAGAATTTTATGTGGCACTGCATGCGGAATATATTACCTGTGCATGAAGTGTTGCGTTCGAAGCGAGTCTTTGCTGGTGGGGGTTGTTTGTTGTGTGAGTCTGATATTGAAACAATATTGCATATCTTTGGCGAATGTCCTGTTGCATGTCAGACTTGGGGTGTGAATGATGTATTCAATGGTCGTTCTATTGTTGAGTTTGTGGAGAGTGTGTTGTGTATGCATGATCAGGACCAAGAAATTCTGATGGTGGCGCGGTTCTAGACACTGTGGCAGGTTCAAAACAATAAGCTATAGAATGCGAAAGACTGGTCTTTGGATGCGATATTGAGTCGCGTTGATGCTGTGGCAAATGCTTGGCGAAGCTCCAATTCCCCCGTAGCCCAGAATCAAAACACTCCCCAATCCACTACCCTTTGGACGCCACCTCCGATTGGCAAGATTAAATGCAATGTTGATGCTTCCATTTTGGAGAATGGGATGGGTTTTGGTGCAGTGCTTCGTGAGTCGTGACCATGATGGTCGATTCATATCAGCCTACGGAGGTCGACTTCTATGTGTTTGGGATTCATATGTTGTTGAGACAATGGCCATAAAGGAAGCTCTTACATGGTTGAAGACCCGTAATGGTTTCCATGTAGTTATTGAGTCAAATTGCTTAAACCTCTATTCAGGCTTTAATTCCTTATCTGTAGATCTTTCATATGTAGGTCTTCTCATAAAGCAATGTCGATTGATTGCTTGTGACATTGGAGGCGTTGTGGTCTGCCATGTCAAAAGGTCAGCGAATCAGGTTGCTCATGTGCTTGCACAGGCGACTGTTTCATCGTCTGTCCTTGGTGTGTGGGACGGTGTTCCACCCAATTGTATTTTGGGTTTGGTTTGATTAATGAAGTTGCTTTGTTTATCAAAAAAAAAAAAAAACTAATTCTTATAATAATAATAATAATAATAATAATAATAATAATAATAATAATAATAATAAAATAAACCAAACATACAAAGTAATTTTACATTCTCAAAATTCCACATTACCTTTCAAGATGTAATCATATTACCTAAGGTAATGTCACATTCCGCAAACCAAACGCCTCCTAAATATTACTGCAAATCCTACATAGCATTTGTTGGTTTTATGATTTTTAGGCAGTCAACGGCCGCCCAACACAACTGATAAAATAACGAGTATATGAGAAAAATATAGAAAAAATATATGAAGGGAATAAATATGTTGTATTGCTTAGAATTACTTGTCCCCTCCCCATGTCTAGGGTTTTTTTTTTTTTTTTTTTTTTTCTTTAATGTATTGGGATGGTAAATGTATGTGTAGGGGTTATTTATACATATTTTGGGCTAGAAGTCCTACAAGGAATAGAAATCCTATACTGCTTCATATTAGGAGTTATATCATATTGAAATTGGTCTCTGTACAAGATAGACCCAATCCTTGGAACATTATGAATAGTATGTCTAATCATATCAAAACTCATTTATTGTGTCTCGTATTGGGCCTCCCTCTTGGGGTTCTTTGATCAAGTTATTTCATTGGGTCAGTCCATTTAGTCAGCTTGGTACACCATTCATCAGTAGTATTTCATTACCTTCGGTTTCAGATAACTTGAACCAAACAAGATAATATAACATTACATTTCTTACATTACTAAGGTAGTCCAAGATTCATTGAACCAAATGCCCCGTAAAGGTTTGTTTGAAAACTTGAGAAATGACTTATTTTTGTGAAATCTCTCCCATACAAATTTATATATGTCCATCAAAGTGTAGGACACTCTTATCATTGTCATTTTGTCATCAACTTCTTACAATCAAGAATGATGGCTGAGTTTTTATGTGTGGTTTGTGACCTATTACATATGAACATAGTTTATCTAGTGTGAACCTTTAAACAGTGGTTGTAACTTCTTTGTGACCCCAAAAGAAGGATGGTTGAGGCTCTTTTCCCTCCTCACCGTTATCTCTAATTCCATTTTTACCTCCACATTTAAGAACATCTCCAATTGTTTGAATTTTTTGTCAAAATTTTTCAGTCAAGCAAAGAAAGAGAGGAAGGAGAGGGAAGGAAAAAAGAATGAAAAACGAAAGAAAAAAGAAAAAGTAGCAAGATGAATTTTACAAGCTTTTGAACCTACGTGTTTTCTCTATAGCAAAACTCTTCCTTCATCTAAATTTCTTGTCACTACAAAAAAAATGCGGATATAACGACGGACCAATTCCGTCGCAATAGGGTAAAATCCGTCGCTAAAGTGTTTAGCAATAGAATTCGTCCGTCACTACAAAGCATGTCGCTAGAATCTAGCGACGCAATTTATTTCCATCGCTAACTTTAGCGACAGAATATTTCGTCGCTAAACAAAAATAATCTGTCGCTATATTTTCCCGACGACGAATTTTATGACGAAACTTGCGAGGGAATAATGACAAAATATTCCATCGATTCCTACCACGAAGATCTGGTGACGAAATTTGTAAAGGAATAGCCACGGCCTATTCCGTCGCTATCGTCTGTCACTACATGTAGCGTCGAAAATTATCATCGCTAATTTGTTTTATTATTTGAATTGAATGCCATTTAACTCAACTTAGTAACATAAATATCCATCTCTAAATTCAACTATAAATTTTTCTGTCATTGCCATTCTTTATTGTTATTAGATACTTAACTACAAATTTACTACAATATTTGCCCATCGCTAAATTTTTTTTTTTTTTTAAAAAAATCTACCCGCTAATTAATATCATATACTTACATTAAACCTATAATATAATACTTCAATAATATAATTGTAAAATATATTATATTAAAACATTTAAACTCAATAGCAATAACAAAAGTATAACATTGTATAATGTTAAATAGTTAAAAACATTACCAAAAATATTAATAAACATAATCTAATCATCTCCTAAGTTTTTAGCATTTGAATTAGCAGAATGTTCAGCTTGAATAGTTGGAGGTTGTGGCATAGGAGTGGATAGCATGTCGTTGCGACGCAACTCATCCATCAAACTTGGACGCAACTCATCCATCAAACTTGTAAACTGAGCTTTTATTTGAGCCTGCATTTGAGTTCTTCCAGCTTGTAGTTTAGCCTCCATCTCAGCTCGCATGGTCTCTAACTGTTGGTTCACCATCTCTTTCATTGCATCTTGATGAAGTTGTGAAGTAGCAGATGAACTACATTTATTCTTGTTGATAAATGAGGATGTCTTAATTCCCAAACCATAAATACGCTGTTTTTTTACCCCACCAACAACATCCACATACCCATGTGACATGTTTATAATTGGTGGCTCAGTTGACCATTCAACTTCTTGCGTTGCAGCGTCATGTCGTGTTTGTATTTCTTCCTACAATTAAAAACATATACAAAATAAAAGAAGTATATAAAGACATAAGAATTTATCTATTTAACAATATATGATATATGATTATTATGCTATATTTACAACGATTCTCTTTGACCTCTCATCAACGAATATACCATTCCTCTTTTTGTGTATATGCTCAAAGCACTCAAACAAATTAGGCCCTTTAGAAGTTCATCTCGCTATTAAACAAGCACAACAATAAAATGATACTAAATTTGTAAAATGTATACAAATAATAAATTTTTAAGTTAAATGTATTACCAATTTGTGATAGTGCTCAGATCTAGATCCTCCGGTATGTCGAGAACATTCCGTACCAGGTCCGGCCACCTCACTCATCCTATTTATCTTCTGAATCGACAACCCCATACTCCTAAATAGCCTTTTGGTTTCATAGAAGTTGTCAGGAACTAGATTATTCTCCGAAACAACTTCTTTCATAAGTTCAACGATTTGATTGAAACATTTTTCTGATATGTGATTCTCTGATTTCAAGCTCATAAGTCGAGCTACAAGAGACAACTGCGAGTGCTTTTTACACCCAGGCCACAATTCTTGATTTGCAGCTTTCAACATGTCATCAAACTTTTGGGCCTCAGGATTTGGCGATTTTTCTATTTCATCCACATTAAATTCAAGACCGACAGCATCCATAACCATTGTGTGGTAAGTATTAGATGCTTCTTCACTGGCCATTTGAGATGGGCCACCAACATCTCGATCAACATCTACCCTCACAATTCTCTCACCATAGAAGCGCCAAACATAGTAGTCCGATACAAATCCATATTTTGCTAAGTGGTATTTCACGGTAGGCACATCTAAAAACTTGGTATTTTGACACTTGCGCTGAGTACATAGACACTTAATTCTTTCCCCGTCCATCCAACTAGTAGCAAATTGGATGAAAGTTTCAAGACCAGCCAAAAACTCCTCAGTGAGAAGACCATTTCTCATTCGTGTATACATCCAATGACGATTTGAACTCATTGGTATTTATCACCTATTTCAAAATATTTTTCAATACTACATCATTTAAAAAATAAAATCGAAACTACATTTCACCGAGACAGAAATCATTCGAAGAAATCCTCATAGACATTCAAATAGAGATTCAAATAAACAATAATATTCTCATAAGCCTCCGGTACACATAAGAGGTTTAGCTGGAGAAAACACAAATGCCAGTGCCCACAGGCAGCTGTTTAGCTGACAAATAAACAATAAATGAAAATTTTGTAAGTTCAAACCTTATCAACCCAAAAAGAACTTGAAAATTCTTGTAAGTTCAAAATTTTTAGCTCGCAATACCTAGTAGGCACTTGGTAAAATAAAATATATACCTTACTGTCAAACCCAGTTTCTTCAAATCATGCTAAATTAAAATGAATCAAGAGATAGATTATTTATCTAAAAAAAAATGCATACCATAAAAAGCTTAAGCTATTTGTGAGGACACATTTGTTATTGGGATAAGGGTCAAATAGACCTTCAAGTATATGCCAAAGTGCAATTAACCCCTCCAACTAAAAAAAACCTTCAATTAAACCCTTAAATTTGTTAAAAATGTGCAATTATCATTTTTACCAAGTTACCAAAAGATAACCAATTAATTTAAATGGCATTTCATTTAAATATTTATAAAAAAAAAAAAAAAAAAAAAGAAGCTGCCGCGCCGTATTCATCCTTGCTGTCGAATTCTCCGTTCGTTGTCGCCAGTGGTGAATAAGCCGTCGGATTCATCGTTCGACGACACCGTTACATTTGAAAGAGAAGCTCGCTGGCTTCTCTTCTCCGTTCATGGAGAAGCCAGCGAGCTTCTCCGTCCAAATCTGGACGGAAAAGCTCACTGGCTTCTCCATATACGGATCGGAGAAGAGAAGCCATGGCTTGAGCTTCTCCGGAGAAGCATGTTGGCTTCTCCATGAACAGAGAACCTCCGTCCATGGAGAAGCCATGGCTTCTAGCCCATGAACGGAGCTTCTCCGTTCATGGAGAAGCCATGGCAGCAGGCTAGGCAAGCTGCCAGCCTGCCCCTTGGCGTTATTTTATTTTATTTTAAATTTGTTTATAATATAATTAATTTTTTTTTAAAAAACAACCTTAAAATATTAATTGGCATGGCAGGTGACTTGAAGGTTACATGCTATTATAGGTCAAATAGGTTAATTGCACTATTTTAACAAATTTAAGGATTTAATTGAAATTTTTTTTAGTTCGAGTGTTTAATTGAACTTTGCTATATAGTTGGAGGGTTTATTTGACCCCTATCCCTTTGTTATTTATAATTTACTCCACAAACAACTAGTGTGGGATAAATAAACAAATATCCCTAATAACTCAAATGTTTGGGAAATTTTATGACTACACATTTACAATATTTGCATTATAATTTAGTGAAAATTTTATATGTTAATCATTTTTGTAAGGTAATAGAAAATTGTTAATCATTTATAATGTAATATGAATGCAACAATGAGAGTTCACATTTATTTCATGACAACCAGAGAGGAGTGGCATCTACTGGTCGTCAGATGACTATATTTTATGGTGGCCAAGCCCACGTTTTCTAATGAAGTGCCTCCCAACGAGGTCTGTCATAACTTATTCAGTTATTCAACTAATGAATAACATCTGTTCAGCATGGTTGCTTATCATATTATTAATGTTTTTACCAATCTTTTTGCGGAATATCAATGGAAGATATTTTGCTTCATTCTCTAAAATCTTTATCACTAATTAAGCATAAATTGCCATAGATGAGGTGCTTATTTTGGTTGGAGTTGCATTGGTTAACGTCTAAACTTTTGAGATTATTTTTTCCTGAGTTTAGAAAAATTAGCAAATCTTTCATTCTCTTTGATGATATTGGTATTCTTGTAGCCTTTTTTTCTCCGTTCTTAAGCTAAAATCCAGGCTAAAAGCAGAATCTATCTAGGCTACTAGGCTAAAAACATTTTTTTTGGTCAGTTAATATATAATTTCTTTAGCTCTTTCACAGTCTGTATAGTATCATTATATGCATGTAAGATCCAAAAAAACATAAATCAAGAAAACACCCAAAATTCTGCATTCCCACGAACAAAATGTACACAGAAACATGAAAAATTAAATGTTATAGTAAATACCTGCATTTTTTTTTAATGTATATCAGAGGCAATAATTGAACATTAATTAATGTACTATGGTATGATCAACCCAAATTGTCATTAAAGGGTCCAAATTGTCATACCCCAAAAGTGTATAGCAATGAATAAAAAAATCTTGAATCATCAGACTGACATTGTCAGTCCAAAATTCCGTGATCAATCAGGTAGAAAGCTCAAAACTTTGAGAATAAAAACATGAATGAACAAAAAGGGAATTTTGACAGAATTAATGTAATGATCTTTTACATTAAACTGTGGCATCCTAAGCACCAGAAACAGGTGAACCAAAAAAAAAAAAAAAAAAAAAAAAAAACAGGAAATTCAGTGAATTAGCATGTTGTGAATGTAGGGAAAAATTTATAATTTGGTGAACTCACCAACTGGACTGAAACACCAGAATGGTATGATGTTGATACCAGATATGCTGAACTTAATATTGCCGATTAGAAAAGGCAAATAAGATTAACAATAGAACTTGTAACTGAATTCAAGAAAAACCTAAAACAAGAAATCTAATTTTTGAACTGGAGATCAGATTAGTTAATGAAGTGAGAACCAACACCCCTTGTAATTAAGCATCTTGATCCAAATTGGGGGTGCAATTGGTCAAACAAAAATGACGTTTTCCCAACATTATGACAATGGTTGTACAGGGAAACCAGTTCATGATCCTTCACTAACATCTAAAGGGGCTAAATCCAATTATATTAATTATTAGCAGATATAAATATGTATCTCTGTAGATACCAGTTTCCTAATTGCCTCACCAAGTTGTCTTTTACAGACTCTTCCTATGAAAAAATCATGTAAAAATGGACAAAATGGAATGAGATTGGAAAAATTAATAGTAACAGATTTTGGAAAGAAAGTCGGTATCGAATAGAAAATTAATTAAATTTTAAGAATGAATGAGATCAGGCTGTAGCTTCTAGCCTTATCTCAGCAGATTAACAGCGAAACAAACAGATGCCACACACATACAGAAACGCATAAACACTCAAATCAAAAAATTCAATAAGCACAAAATACAAGCCATAAACAAATACATACCAGAGAATAGAGCTAGGCGGCAGGGGAAGCGACGGTAAGAATAGAAGCAGCGCCGTCGGTGGTGGCAGTCGGAAGAAAATAGCGGCGGTGGGCGATGGCAGTGGGTGTTAGGGGAGAGAAGTGGCTGATACATCCTTAGGGTTAGGCAGCAGCGTTTTGTAGCGTATTTTGTTAATGTTAGCGATGGATTTGAGTATCCGTAGCTACAGATTCCAAAATCTGCCGCTATATTAAAAAAAAAATCGGCTTAATCTCTCCGCTCGTAACTTTTACAACGGATTTGGGGTGCATTTGCCGGTGATGCAGGATATATTGGGTGGATCTCAAAATTGCATGCATGAAAAAGTGGATACAAGGGAGGGAAAAGCGTAAGGTTGGAGTCCTAATTTGTGAATATCAAGACTCGGAGGGATAGCATCCGATTTTTGATCAAAACTCGGAGGGTTGGCATCCGATTTTTTTGATTAAAATGCGGAATTTTAATTCCCAACCACCGCCCCACCCACGGCCCCAAACCCCAATGCGCATTTTGAATAAATTGGCGATTTTAATTTCCCAACAACCGCCCCAAACCCCAATGCATGGTGTTGGTCAAACCCCAAGCTTTTGCAGACACTTTCCCTTCCCAATGAAACTTTAACTTAAATGTTAAACAGCTTTATTGGACTTTTCCCCCATGATGTTACAATGCATGCATGCTTATTTCGGATGTATGAGTATAAAATGTAGAATGCTCCACAATTGCATTTGTTCTACTGATTCGGATTCATAGCCATACAAAACTGTTCTCTCTCCACATATTTGTTTGTTCTACTGATTGCGATTCATAGCCATTTCACAAAGCTGTTCTCTCTCAACATATTTGTGTTATTCAAAGGTTCTTCCCAAGCCACTTCTCAAGCATTTAGATTGGATCAGCACTGCATCTTCCCAAATATCTTCTCAAACATCTTCCCAAACATCTACAGTTTGCAATATTGAGGTAAAAAAAAATTATATTTGAGTTGTTTTACACTGCGTAAGAAAAAAAAGGTTTATATTTGAGGTAAAAAAAAAAATTATATTGAGGAATATTATTTTAGTCGGTTCATATTTTATACACCGCATTATTTATTATTTTGTTATGTTGTTTTATTGTAGATTATATCCCCGTTTATAATTATATTGTTTTAGAAAAATCAGAAATTTACTGAATGGGAAATATATATATATTTTAAATGCCGTTTATAAATTATTTTTTATGTTTAAATGCAGTTATTATTTTTGTATTTGTTAAGTCAGAATTTATTTTTTTGATTTGCCTCCATTTTAAGTAGTATATTGAGTATAGTATTATAATTTCTCTGGAGTGATGAAGTCTGAACCAAAATAAAAAAATAAAAAAAATTAGGAGTGTATAAGTATATATCTTCAATGTCATAGAAATATGTAAAAAGAAAATGTTAGTGTAGGTAAAATCTCAAAAAATATTTAATTTATGTACTTCATCAATGAATATTGGTACAAACTGAACCGAATGTTATGTGAGAAAAAAAAAAGTATTATATTTGAGGTAAAAAAAAGGTTTATATTACAACGTCCCATTTAATAAAGTTTTATATTACAGCGTCCCATTTAATAAAGTAGTTGGTAAAAAAAGGTTTATATTACAGCGTCCCTTGAAGGCAAAAAAATTAAAAATTCGAGCTTATTTAGAATTGTAAACCTCGGACCATTATGGTCCGAGTCTTACAAATTTTAAAAAATTCGGAGCATTTTGGTCCGATTTAAAAAAAATTCGGACTAACCTGCTCCGAGTTTTGCCATAATGTTATTATTTATTTTGTTAGTATTTAACGAAATTATTTATTTATGTTATTATTTATTTTGATAGTATTTAACGAAATTATTTATTTATGTACTGTCGTGTTGTTAATTGCGTAACTTGTTGTTCGAAGTTGTTATAATGTTCTTAATTTGTAAGTATTATGAATTGTTTTGATACAGGAATGGCTAACAACAGGCGAGTGCATCTCGGGCCACTACAAGAGGGTTTGTTACCATTTCAAACCCGTCACCGTAGTAGGGCAATTTGGACGGATCCAACGTACGACTTTCAACTTAAAGCCGTTAAATACGATATGTTGACTAGGTGTGCAGCCGTGAATGATGATAGAGTCAAAGCATGGCTGCGAGTTGCTGGTTTGTACGGTGTTTCTCAGTTGCCCAAAATTCAGTTGGATCATGGGCTTATTACTGCCCTTCTAGAGCGATGGAGGCCGGAGGTCCACGCTTTCCACTTGCCCTTCGGTGAGGTTGGAATAACTCTTCAAGATGTTGAAGTGTTATTCGGCCTTAAGGTCGACGGACTTTTGGTGACGGGTGAGGATACAATCGGCACCCCGGCAGAAGTAAAATTAATGTGCAATGAGCTGTTGGGATTTGAGCCAGCCGATAGGTTCCTATCCACCACCATGATTAACGGGACAGCTGTCCCGGACATTCAGGATCTTCATGCGGACAGCACAGACGAAGAAGTGTTGTTGGCAGCCCGCCGTTTTATTTATTATTTATTAAACGATTTTTTATTTCCCGACGCAACCAAAGGGAAATATAAATTGTACTTGCTCCCATACGTTAATAATCTGTATATTTGTGGTGAATATTCTTGGGGTTCGGCTGTTCTGGGATGTCTTTACAGGGCGTTGTGTAGAGCTTCCGAAGCCGACAAACGTACAGTGTATGGGTGTCTTCTTCTAGTCCAGATTTGGGCATGGGAGAGGCTGCCTATGTTTCAGCCGCAAGGTGTATTGCCGTGCAACCAAATCGCTGACTACCCTATTGCATACAGGTAACGATCTCTAAATTGGCTGCATCAATGTTTGAATATTGAAGTAGTAGTATTTATTTACTTTGACATTGTTGTAGGTGGGTTTGTCGGCATTCTTGGTTATCAGTGCCTACGCACACTGTCGTAGCCTATCGCGATCAATTAGATCGTGTAGCTGAACATAGAGTAAGTAATTTTATGAATATGAATACCTTTACATGGAATATTATTTTGGTCAGTTCATAATTTATATTTTCTATGCAGTTTAATTTCACCCCTTACGATGACTATCTCGATGCCTTGCCCCCATATTGCACAGCGGGGAGGAATTTGTGGACTGCTCGTGTTCCGCTTATTTTTTACCACGTGGTGGAATATCACCACCCTGACCGGTTCTGCAGGCAATTTAATGGTTTGCAGGTTGTGCCAGCAGATGTGGTGTACGACCAACGGTTGCACGATATGGACCAACGGGGTAGGTCTCGGACTAATTGGTCACTAAAACACGCAGAGCACGTGGCCCGTTGGAATGCTCGGTATGATTTGGTTATCCACATGCAAAGAACTGATCGACCGCAGGTTGTGGATGGGTACCACACATGGTACTACATGCACGGTCGACGGCTTATTGGTAACCCTTCGCATTATGGTAACCAGGGATTCGTGCAGTGTGCCGCATCGCTGAATGATGCGGTTAGTATATTACTAATGTTTTGCATTAATTGGAATAGATTTAGATTTGTTATTATTTTATTCGTAATAATTCCTAACGCATTTTGTTTAAATTAGATGCATGCTTTCAACCGGTTGAGGTTAGATTCCCATCAGGTCCTCGACAATCCGGAAGCCGATCGTGATGCATTCATTAGGGATGTTGAGCAGCGGAGTACTGATATGATGATCAATACTGAGTACGAGTTCCTATTGCACGTGGCGCCGCAGCAATACTTTGGGGCCCCGATGCTGGATGAACCATTTGGCCCTCGGCGTGCAGATGGTCGTCGAGACAGGCCCAACATGCGTGGTGGTCCAGCAATTGGTGGTCGAGCTAGGTGCGCCGCGAATCAACAATTACAGGCGCAATTGGTTTTTTAAAATTTAGTTTTTTAAAATAGGTGGGCCGAATTAAAATTTAGTTTTTTAAAATAAAAAAAACTCGGACCGTGAATGGCCGATTTTTACATTCAAATTTTGTTTTTCAAAATTAAAAACTCGGACAGTGAGGGGCCGATTTTTGCATTAAATAATTTTTTGTTTTTTTAATTTTCAAATCAACAAAAATTTTAATTGCACTAAATACGAAAGTCAATTAACAATTCGAAAATCAGTGTCCGATTCATGCATTACATTAAGGTAGAACCATTCTACGGTTCTTCATTTAATCGTGCGTAATCGTAAATCTGAAAGGACCACAAATGATTATACAGGCCTTCCAAACCACAACGCGAGAATACAATTAAGTTTATAGTTTCAATTTCAAAATTCAAAAACAACAAACTATGAGCTCCGTCGAAGAGGGAAATGGTATCCGCTAATTCCAAATACGCACGTTGATAGTAACCGTTGTGGAATCTGATTGTGGTAGTGCCATGTACCACATCAACGAAGTCATTCTCAGTTACCGTTGCAGCAATGAAGTCTATTAGTAGCGATTGTTCACGAGAAAACTCATGGATATCAATCAATAATGTCCGGCAACCTATTAGTGATTCAATCGAAACACTATGATGGATGCTCGACCTCGTTGGTACAGCAATTATTCCACCAGTACTATCAGGAGCTATGTCACGGCTGTCCCCATCACCTAGGGCATGTTGTAGTTGAACTTGAGTCCTATTTCTTATGACAAAAAATTGAAATTGAAAACGACCAACATGTCGCATGACTATTTGGTCATGCTCTTCAATTCCATAAGCAGTAAGAAATTCTTCAGCGTCTTCGTAACAAGACATTGATTCAACATGCAACTCCCACGGGTCGGACGGACCGTGATATAGTAGTGCAGTACGGTTGACGTGCTCAACAAGGTGCTGAAACATGCAGTATGGAAATGCAAAGAACCATGGGCCGACGAACTGAACGATAAACCAACTTATTGTGCCGCCCAAAATGTTGTCATGAACTCCGAGTGTGCGAGTAAATCTACAGACTGCATTGTTTATCGAAACACCATATTAGAAAAACATAATACATCCGCAAATAACATCAGAAAAAATAAAATTTAAACAACTGTAACTCGTACATCGGATCTCCTCATTGTGGAACTGATAACCAACTTCACCATCAATAAAACTCTGCAGAAATTGCTCGGCTCTACGTCCGGTGTTTATTCTCGTTGGGAATGTAATGGTAAACCCTAAAACATTCATTACCATTAACCACGTTTGTGAAACGACAAACGTGTAATTTGTTCGTCCCTGCTCTCTCATTAATGAGAACATACAATAACACTGATTGTGTATTGTATGAATAAAATATCTAACTATTTTCACTCCGTTCGGTAGCTGAAATTCGTTACAACTGTATGATGTCCAGATTTCCATCTCTCACAACGTAGTGTATACAAACAACTGAAAATTAGAATATCTGTGGTAATAAAAATATGTTGGCACTGATGTTATATTCTTTATTATGATGGTTGCATGTATTTATACTGCAATACAATAATTTATTTTACGAATAGTCATTCGTATTAGTCATTCGTATTAAAGGAATTGTCATCTCACAGTCATTCAAAATAGTAGTACAATCTCTCAGAGAATATATTCTTATTGAAAACGATAAAATGACTGGTCTCGGGAATATATTTTTCTCAGAAATGATCGCGCCTCGGGTATAAGCGTGTTAGAGATGACCCGCGAAATGCTAAAAGCGGACCACTGCGGTCCGATTGTAAAAAAAAAAAAAGTTAAAAATCGGAACAATAAGTTCCGATTTTTCACTTTTTCAAGAAAAAAAATTAAAAATCGGACCATTGCCGTCCGTTTTTAACGAAAAAATAATTAAAATCGGACCATTATGGTGCGTTTTTTTAGTTTTTAGTTTTAAAGGTAAAACGCATACCGTACGTTTTTAGTTTTACATATATATATATATATATATATATATATATATATATATATATATATATATATATATATATTTTCAGACTTCACGTGAATAAATAAAATATTCGTCTCGGAAATGATAAAATGGACTGTCTCTACCTCGGAAATGTAATAGATATTCGTCTCAGAAATAATATAATGGATTGTCTTTACCTCGAAAATGTAATACTTTTTCACAATAGCAATACGAATGGTCATTTCCTATTAAATGACTAGTCTTCTCACACTTATGGCAGCATAGCAATCCAAGGGAATATATTCTGTCAGAATTTCTTTATAGGCCTATATATAGCCTGCTATACATCACCGCAACCTGCTCACATTGAAGATTACTTGCTCAGATTGCAGTTCCCATTCTACAACTTCAAAGCATTCATCATCTTCGTCTGAACAATTCATATGGTACGGTATAATTTTATTTACTCATTTTTTTAATTAAAATTTCGTCTTTAACATGAATATAATTTTTATTAGGGTAAAACCTATGTTGTGTTTGTTGGTCGCCAACCGGGAATATATGACAATTGGGAGGACGCAAAAACTCAAGTGCATCGCTATAGCGACAACTTGTATAAATCATACAACTCGAGGGATGAAGCCATTCAAGCTTTCAACAGATTCATAAGTAGTCAACGACATGATTCCCGACCATGCAGTTCTAATTCCGCTTCAAGTTCCACCTCCACCGTACCAAATGAGGAAATCTTAGCTCGTATGCAAGATGAACTGGCACGTGAGAATCACGAGCACGCGATGAAACTGGATGCAATCGTTGAAGAATTTAAGCATCTACTTTCCAAATAAGTTAACATAATGTTTGAATAAATATTTGCATGAGTTTACTCCATTGTTGTTTGGCATGTGTTTAAGTGTTATGTTTTGTACGCATAAACCAACCCTATCATATTTTCCTTCCATACTCCAATTAATTTTATAAAATGTCATTTTTGATAGTGACAACACTATCACAATAAAAAAAATTAAAAAAAAATTACTACTTCACAATAGTTGGAGTCTCACGAAATTTATTTAACTGAAAAGTGATTTTATAAAAAAATGCTTTGTGAAAGGGACTACACTTTCATAAAGCTGATAGAGACTACACTCTGGTACACTACTATAAATAGAACACTACTATACAAACAACTAAAGCTGTTAGGGACATTTAAATATAAGTATTTCGGACTCTAGTACAGTACTATAAATACCCCAACTGCCCCACAACTGCCCCACAACATTTGCGAATCTCATATTTACAAAGACCCAAATTGAATTTTCTCAAACTGCAATTTTTTTAAAATGGCAGCTATATCTACATATGTTTTCATTTTTTGGGGTGGGGAAATACAAACTAGTGGGGCACCGCCACAGATAAATTATTCACTCCAGCCTCGAGTAGTTATTCCAATACCATCTATTCATCTAATATTGGACTCATTCCTATGGAGTTAATGATCAGACAAGCAATGGGAATCAACATTGAGGACAATGTTGAGCTGATTGGAAGAGTGATAGTGGATGCTACAATGGGAAGCACACACTATCTACTACACATTGCGCGAGAAAGAGACTGGGAATACTTCATACGACAAACAATGCCAAACGGAGAGTTACATGTGTACGTTCAAACAGAAGATATTTATGGTGGCGGATTCGGAGTTAACGATGTCGATCCACCAGAGGAACTTCCATCAGAGTCAACAATGGTGGAAAGTTCATCAGAAAGTGATGCCACGTATCAACCTTATGAGTCCATACTGTCCGAGGGTTCAGGAAGTACAGACGACGAAGACATACAGGAGTCAGTTCCATACGACTTCGATTCAATGAATGTAAATACTCAAATGAATCGAGGTCGGGGTCATCGATTGCCAGATTCTGCGGTCCCGTCTTACCAGTCACCGATACCACCTACAACAACTGCATTCGCATACGGCTTTACGGAGAGGGACGATGATGAAACCCTATCATACGACCCCTCCACAAATGTTATTGCAAAAGGAATGGTATTCCCGGATTTTCCGACCCTAAAAAAAGCAGTAGGAACATACAATATCCTGCACGGGCGGGACTACATCACCAACCACAAAAAAAGGGCAAATTGGAAGGTCTCCTGTACACATTATATCTCAACACCATCTTGCATGTGGACATTATCCACAAAGAAGTTGCATGGGGCGTCTACTGAATGGCAGGTCACGAAGTGCACTCAGCCCCATCAGTGCACTGTTCAATTCAACCAGCGGCCGGCGGACAAACTGTGCACCAGCTCGTTAATATGTGATCTGATCTTTTCAAAGATCACTGCGGATCCACAGTACAAAATAAAACACATCCAAGTAGATGTGAGACAACGATTTGGTGTCGACATTTCATACCGGAAAGCTTGGTATGCCAGACACAAATGCATTGAAATGCAGTACGGGAATTACCAGCAGTCATACAATGAGCTACCACAATTCTGCCGGCAGTTGCAACTGTCCAACCCAGGTACCATTGTGGAAATCATGACCACACATAACGCAGAAAGGGGTACAGGGTACGCAAATTTCTTGTACGCATTTTGGGCGTTCAAGCCCGCATTAGATGGTTTCCGCTACTGCATCCCGGTTATTTGTGTTGACGGTACCCACTTGTACAACCGGTACAAAGGTCATCTCCTCCTAGCCTGCGGATATACCGCCAACAAGGAAATCTATCCACTGGCATATTCGATCGTGGACTCCGAAAATAATGCCAGTTGGACTTGGTTTCTTCGACTTCTGGCCGAAAATATCTTTCCACATCACAATTCCATGTGCATCGTCTCGGATAGACACGCTGGAATCGATGCGGCGTTTAATTCCGTCGAACAATTGAAGGGGGGCCGTGTCAAACGCCGGTTTTGCCTAAGACACATTCGCAGCAATGTCATGTCAAGGGTGACCAGAAATAGGCAGTTACGCAAACTTGTGTGGGAAGCTGGTACTGCTGTGACAAGGGATCAATTCCTTCAACACATGCACGCAATCCAAATCAAATGGCCCGCTGCATACGCCTATCTTGCCGACATTGATGTCGATAAGTGGACATTATCTCACGACGATGGTCACCGGTACGGTATCATGACGACCAATCCGTCTGAGTCACTAAATAATTCACTAAAGTGTTGTCGGATGTTACCCGTCACGGCAATAGTCCGAATGACTTTTCACAAGTTACGGACTATGTTTGCCGACAGGCGTACTGCGGGAGAGGGGATGCAGCAACACGGCCTGCGATTCACGACTAACATTACCGATGATTTGTCAGCTCGAAACAATGAGGCAAGCGGTGCTAGCGTTCAACGTTACAATGACGCCCTCGGAATCTATGGTGTTGCCCTAAATACTGGTTATGTTTCCCAAAGTTAACAATATCACTTTCAAGTGAATCTAACGGAACGTACGTGTAACTGCGGCTTGTGGAACGTCAACGGCTTACCTTGTGCACATGTGATTGCAGCATGCAATTACCGAGGGCAAGGATTCGGCCCATTAGTGCCAGATGTTTACTCGGTTGAAAATTACAGGAACTGTTATGCCGGTAATTTTTACCCCGTAGACGAAAGAATTCAGTGTACCGGTCCAGTTACTTGCCTTCCACCAATTTCTGCTAGGCAACCAAATCAACGAGGACAGCGCCGCACGCGTAGGTATCCAAATGAAATGGACTTCGGTTCAAATCGAAGTAGAAGATGTAGGTATTGTCGGAGGACAACTCATTCTTCCCCCAACTGTCCTACTTTGAATCATCAATAAAATAATGCTTTTTTAATATTTTTAATTATCCAATTTTTCATCTAAATTCAATTTTTAATATCAAGTATAGACACGTACTGAACCTTCTTCGACAAAAAATATTATGAATACATTCGTTGCATTCCTTAAAAAAAAAAAAAAAAAAAAAAAAAACTTAATAAATTTTTTCAATAGATTCGAACCAAAAGGGTCCGAATCTATTTAAAAAACAATAATAAAAAAAAAAGTCGGACTCTAGAGAATCGATTTTATTTCATCACAAACTCGGACTCCTTTGCGTCAGTTTTCCTTCTCTGGGGTCCAAATATTGATTTACGCAAATCTCGTATCCAGCCAACATATTATGAACTTTTCTGTTTATGATTCACGGATTTGATCATCCGTCTCCGTCGCTATGTGTAGCGACGGATGATCAAATCCATTGCTAAAGTGTTTAAAATGTTAAAAACTTAAAATACTAAAAAATTCAGGTTGTAAATTTAGCGGGAATTGAGAGTTCGTTGCTACAGTGTTAAAAAAAATCCGTCTTAGCGACGAATAATATTCGTTGTTATAATATTAGAAAACATAATTGATTCAACTCATTTAATCAATTGCACTATATAATATTCGTTATTTATATAATTTTATATTGATTTAAATATTTTTAAAATATTATAACAAATTCATTTCATGCAATGCACAGGTAAAAATACTAGTTTTGGTTAAATAATAACTTTATATCATTTTCGATGTTTGTGATAGATTCAAATTTACAAAATAACCCAAAATCGTCCTCGACTATAGTGGTTTTTCTCAATTTCGTCCTAAACGACTTTGGTGACCTAATATCGTCCCAGACTTTTATGTTTCGCTCAATTTCATCCCATACTTTTGTATTTTTGCTCAATTTAGTCCCTCATTTGTTATTCTATCCATTTGGTGTTAAATAAATAGACAATTAAGTAATTTTAATATTGGCATCTCTTTACTCATAGACATGTGAACTGCGAAATCCCTTTTTTTTACGAATTAGTCCCAGAATTACTCCTAAAACTGCAAATATAAAATTTGATTTGCAGGTCCGGGAGTAATTCTGGGTGTAATTCGTACAAGAAAGATGAATTTCGCACTTCACAAGTTGAAAGTAAAGAGAGATCAATATTGACATTACTGAATTGTCCCAAAATTTAACAACAATTTGACGGAATAACAAATGGAGGACTAAATTGAGCGAAACACAAAAGTCTGGGACGATACTAGGTCACCAAAGTCGTTTAGGACGAAATTGAGAAAAACCACTATAGTCGAAGACGATTTTGGGTATTAACTCTTTTTAAAATCATAATTGTAGTCCTTTAATTTTATGGTGACCAAATCTATAGTATATTTGATAGAGCTTATAAATTATATTTGGTGAAAGAATTATACCTTAAAACAAAAGTGTTATAGTTTGATGGTATCTATGAAAGGGAAAGAGCAGAAAGATCAAGAATGAATCAACTCCAGAATCAAAACCCCCTTTCTCATTAAGCATTGAAACAAACATATATACATCACAAGGATAATAGTTACAATATAATAATATCATAAATGGGGAAGATCATGGGTTTGAGGGAGATAATGGCCATAAATCAATAATATTTATAACAAAAAGTTTATTTTAAAACTCAACTCAAAGTAACATTTTAAAAATAAGCTCTAGTTTTTATTTTATTTTATTTTTGGAACCTACTTGAAAAATATATCTTACTGTTGCCACATAGGGAATAAAAATAAGGAAGTAAAAATTACTTTTCTTCTGCGTAATAGAACTCTTAAATTAAGAGATTTGATGCATTCAAAAAAAAAAAATTAAGAGATTTGATGTCTTTATTGAGCCGTAGAAGAAATGGAAAGTCAAGACTGTCCATTTCCAGAAAGGCGCGAAAGTGGCCTCTCAAAACTAAACGGACAATTTTCAAGTGCAAAATGTGAAGGCATTTTCCATGCATGATGCATCAGCTACTCAATCTCAATTTTCCAATATATATATAAGGGCAAGTTCTAGTGCGGTCAGGACTTAACGTGCGGCCGCACTAATAGGTCGGGAATGCAAAAATGCATTAATAGTGTTAACAGGGGTGAGTCAGGATTTGTTGGTAGAGGGGCCAATCACAATTTGAGAGAGAATAATAAAACATATTAATATTTATTTAACATATTTCAAAATACATCATTATATTACAAATTTACTAAAATTTGGAACGTCTTCCACAATTCAATGACTCAATACTTGTAAATGAATTTACTTGAGATGTTGAATTTTTAGAATTCTTTCTTTTAAAGAAAAGATCAATTATTCTTTGTGTCTTTTTTATTTCAACTCAAACTTCTGATGTTCACAGTGTTTTTTTTTTTTTTTTTTTTTTTTTTGACAAATCAATTGAATTAACTAAAATTGGGGGAAAAAAAAGAATAAATAGACAAAGATTAAAGTAGTAGAAATTTATGAACAGATACTACATTGTAATAGAGTCGGTAGTATTCAAAAAAAAAAGTAATAGAAATTTAAAGATTTTGGTAGCAAAATGACAATTTATTATTATAATAAACACAATTGCAATGTATTTCATTTGCAAATTAAAAAAGACAAAGATTAAAATTGTAGAAATTTAAAGATTTTGGTAACAAAATGACAATTTATTATTATAATAAACACAATTGCAATGTATTTCATTTGCAAATTAAAAACGACAAAGATTAAAGTAGCAGAAATTTAAATATTTTGATCGCAAAATGACAATTTATTATTATAATAAACACAATTGTAATGTATTTCATTTGCAAATTAAAAAACTAACTAGATAACAAATTAGCAATCCACTAAGTTACCCCAAAAGCTTGCTTGGAGCGGGGCAAAATAACAAATATTTAGTGAAGGGGGTCAAAAAAATACAATACTAATTTTAAAAAAAAAAATGGTTGGGGACTGGGGAGGGTGGGGGGCAACTTTCATGTGGCTCCGCCATTGAGTGTTAGGAAATGCACCACAATGAAATGCACTAATGCACCACAATGAAATGCACTAATGCACTACAAAACGCACCACACAACCAAAAAAATGCACCATACCTCCCCACATTTGGTGGTGCGTTTTGTGGTGATGCATACCTAATGATGCGTTTTGTGGTGCATTTCATTGTGGTGCGTTTCCTAACACTATTAGTGCGTTTATGCATACCTAAAGGTGTGGCAGCACCGGCCGCACGTTTAGGCGGGGCTGCATTTGAGCTGACATATATATATATATCCTTGACCCTCAGAGTCCAAAGGTGGAATGCATACATGGGCAGGATTTTAGGAACACCCGGCCATGGCCTTGGCAGTGAGAAAGCTCCTCTCTTGAACAGACAAGTAAGGTTTTTAATAACCAGTTGAGTACTTAAGGATATTTAGTTTCTCAATTCTTGTATATTAAGTCTATAATTTCCATTTGCACTGAAAATCGTGTGAAAACTGCTTTTTTGTAATATCAAAACAAGCCCTTATTATCCATTTGTACCATATATGCATCCTTACTTTGCCAAAGTTTGCCCATCTTGATATAGTGATAATGTATAATCTCAATGGTTAACAGGCTGGGAGAAAGGTGTATGATTCAGTGGAGAATGGTCAGCTAACTGACCTTGATGAGCATGGAGATAGAGTGCTGGTAATTTGAAATTTCATCAAGAATTTTCTGTTTTAGTGAGTGTTGAGCATATAATATATAAACATAAATGTGCAGTCCAACTATCAGTTTAGCCTTTCAGTTGAGATGGAACACATACTTCAATTATAAGAAGCTAATAACTTTGTCTTAAACCATTCAGGCGCCAAATGTAGGATTTTGCCGAGTGATTTCGCTAGTAAGTAATTGGGAATTGGGATTATATTGTTCCTCTAGTCAATGAATTTCTGATACAGCTTCAATAATTCAGTGTACCCAGCTTTTTAACTAGTTATTTGCAGGCCAAACCTGAGGCGGGGAAGTTGATTCTCGCAACACTGGCACTCTTGCTTGCATCGACGTCTGGTATATTGATTGTAAGTAGTTCTGCATTAGGATTGTCTTCCCCACCAGAGCACAAAGATCTCGGGAATTTCTTTCAATGACGTTGAAATGTCTGTTTTGCAGAGAAAATTTGGGGGGACGATTATCGATATTGTTTCAAGGGATATCCAAACAGATGGACAAAAATCTGAAGCTTTAGGAGATGTAAGAAAGACCATATTAGAAATATTTTTTATTGCCATAGTTGGGTAAGTCCCTAATTAGTTTGGTTGAAATAAACAGATGCCTAGAGAGATATGTAGTCTGCTAATCTTTTGAGGTACAATGCAACCTCCAAGCATCCAAAAAATGAATCAATTGCTTAAACTTCACGTATATGGATGATGTCAAGAATCAAGATCAAGTGCTTACCTTTACGCCAAAAGTTATAGTTATTAGTTCCCCCGCGCCACATGTTCGATGGTGCTAGACTTGGCCTTTTAGACCTCCGCCCCTCCCCCACCCCCCTTACTACGATTCTCCCCCCCCCCCCCCCCCCCCCCCCCAGCACCTGTTAGCCTAGACTTGGCCCTTTAGACCTCCGCCCCCCAACAATCAATCATTATTGGGTGGACCATATTTTGTCTACAGTAAAATAATGTACATTTAGTACAAAAATAATGTACATTCAGTACAAAAATAATGTACATTGTATTCAGGGGATGTACATTATTTTTGTTCAGAGTGTACATTATATTGTATAATGTACATTTAGTACAAAAATAATATACATTTAGTATATTAAAAATGTACTTTTTGTTATGGTCCACATAATAATTTGCCCCCAACAATTCTTCCCAGCACCTGTCAGCCCGGATTTGGCCCTTAAGACCCCCCCCCCCCTCCCCCTTGCAATTCCCTCAACACCTGTCAGCCCAGAATTGGCCCTTTAGACCTTCGCCCCCTAGCACCTGTTAGCCCGGACCTGACATGTGTTTTGATACCACTTGTTTAAATAGTTTTTGGTGTAGCGGTAAGTGTTTGATCTTAACCGATAACATTACTAGAATCTTGCACTAGAGGAAGCTGGACTCTAGTAAACACAATGGCTCTTTAAATTCCTATCCATGTCATCCACCTTGATTGTTATGGCACTAATGGAGTTATAAAATATTTTTGCTTCTTTCAGTTCTATCTGCACGGCGCTTCGTGTATGGTTGTTCTCTTCTGCTAGTCAAAGGGTCGTGGCTCGCTTGAGAAAGGACTTGTTCAGCCACCTTATTTACCAAGTAACGACTTCTATTCATGTTTCTAGTTACCAGGTATCATTTCTGTCTAACCTATGAAATTTATGTTTTGAAAAGGGTTGATTCATAATTGTAGGAGATAGCCTTCTTTGATGTTGCTCAAACTGGGGAGCTCCTTAGTAGGCTCTCTGAAGATACCCAGATCATAAGGAGTGCAGCCACGACTGATCTTTCAGGGGCTCTCAAGAATCTTTCTACTGCTTTTATTGGTGTAGGATTCATGTTTACAACATCATGGGAATTAACATGTAATGGCTATATATGCAACTCTTTAATCAGGCATAGATTTTTTTGTGTTCTGTTTTGTTTTCAAAATCATATGTATTCATGTTGTGTCTTCCATGTTTTATGATCCAGTGTTGGGGTTAGTAGTTGTTCCAGCCATATCAATTGCTATGCGCAGATTTGGGCTGTATATGCGTGAGCTTTCCCACAAGACTCAAGCAGCTGCAGCAGTAGCCTCATCAGTTGCTGAGGTTAGTTGCTCCACTGATATTGGTACTACTATTCCACCTGGATTTGGAATAAAAGTATTCCTAAGCTTACGTTAGATTAATCCTAAGCCGCTAGAACCCTTGTTCAATAGTGTCATTGGAGGAGGTAGGAGTTGCCCAAGCATCCTCCCAGTCAGTCCCTGTTGTAGCTTGGGGAGCCCATCCTAAACCCGCAAGCACCCTCCCAGTCAGTCATTGTCGTTGACGCTGCGCACAAGGGATCCATCCCAGCCCTTAGAACCCACAAGCACCCTCCCGTCCATCCTAAGCCCTTAGAACCCCTGCCCAAGAGTCGTTAGAGGAACCCAAGCAGCCTCCAGTCAGTCTATGTCGTTGACTCTGCACACAAGGAAACCATCTCCACACTTCCGCCAACTTGGGGAGCCCATTCTCAAATCTAGGGATCCTAAGGGCCCAAACTCTAGCTTGAGGAGCCCTAACTCCAAGATGTTGGTGGTGAGAGTCAAACCCCCACCTTGCCGCTAGAGTGGTGACTTTAGGTCAGGTGGTCTATCACTTGAGCTAATCCTGCAGAAAGCTAGCCTAGATATTCTAGTTAGCCATACAAAGCACACAAAAGTGGTTATCATTGAATAGCTTAGGCTAACCCCATCCCAGAAATTTTACCCCTTTCTAAATGACATGGAAGAGAGATAATACATTTTTTATTCTTTTTTTATGCTGATGTGTATTGAAATGGGAGAGAGAGTTTGCTAAATTAGAAATAGGAGAGAGAATTTGTTAATGAGAGAAAAAGCTGCAAAAGTTGCTGAAAAGGACGATGTCTTTTTTATTTATTATTTTTTTAATATTATTTTATTATATACAAAATTGATGATGTGGAAGTGGGACCCATTTTAGAAAGTGAGAAATTTTTGGAATAAGGATAGCCTTAGAAAGTGAAGCTTGAAGAAAGGTTTGTGGTACATTAAATGCTAAGTACTTTGGTGTTTGATCATCTGCACTAGGAATATGCTCATTGCTGTTTGTAAATTGTAATAGAATGTTGTTATTGCTGTTTAGGAAGCTTTTGGCGCAATACGCACAATCAGATCTTTTGCACAAGAAGATTATGAGATATCGCGGTATGCAGAGAAAGTGGACAATACTTTGAGTCTTGGACTTACTCGTGCTGTAAGTTCCTCAATATTAAACTCCACCCTCATCTATACTTGGCAATGGGAAATGAAGAAAATAAATGTGTCTATTGTAGTGAGTTGAGAGTTTGAGTCAAATCCATTGATGTTTTGTTGAGCAGAAAATAGTTGGTCTTTTCTATGGAAGCCTAAGTGCAGCAGCAAGGCTACCGGCTATGCTTGTAGTTCTTTATGGAGCTACTTTGAGAATTCATGGCTCAATCACAGCTGGGGCTCTGACATCTTTCATTCTTTATAGCCTAACAGGTGAGAAACTCTTGGTTTTTTCTTCACCTCAATATCTGTAAATGAATTTAACATGGTAAATACACCAAAAAGCATGATTAAATTCAATCTTTTGTTATTTATACACTATTATGTAACTTTCCTTTTCCCTTTTTGCAGTTCAATCTTCAGTGTCCGGGCTATCTGGATCATACACTGTGGCGATGAAAGCTGCAGGGGCAAGTAGGCGAGTTTTCCAGCTCTTGGATCGCGTCTCATCTATGCCAAAATCGGGAAACAAATGCCCTTTGGGGTGAGTTGTAGCCTTGTAGGTCTTCTGAAGCCGATTCTTGGGTGTTCTTTCCTCATATACGAAGTCAAAAGCACTTGAAAAAGTGAGTCTTGAAAACCATTGTATGTTGCAGAGACGAAGATGCAGATGTAGAATTAGACGACGTCTGGTTTGCCTATCCATCGCGTCCCAACCATATGGTCCTCAAGGTAATAACTAATAACCATTCCTCTTTAGGAATCATCATATCCTTGTTCTGGAAACGGATTTTGCTCACTGGAGTACAAACATTCTACGGTTTTAGGGTATTACACTGAAACTGCAACCTCGCTCAAAGGTTGCCCTGGTCGGTCCAAGTGGCGGTGGCAAGGTAATTTCTCATAATCTCATACCATTCAAAATTTGTGTTTCCCCGCCATGCCTGTCTGTGTAGAGGATGCAACACGTTTCTTTTGCTGCAGACTACCATAGCGAACTTGATTGAACGGTTTTATGATCCTGTCAGAGGAAAGATCTTGCTGAATGGGGTTCCTTTGGTAGAAATCTCTCGTCAACATTTACACCAAAAGGTAAAATTACGGTACTATACTATGATCTTTCCATGAAGAGTACTATGTCTGCTTTCTTTGAGTTTTCCGTAAATGCTAGTTGGAAAGTGCAGGTCAGCATAGTGAGCCAGGAACCAGTTCTTTTCAATTGTTCCATTGAAGAGAATATTGCCTTTGGCTTGGGTGGCAAAGCAAGCATGAGCGATATAGAAATCGCAGCTGTAAGTTTCAACCCCATTCATTCATTCAATCATTCATACTCTCCCGTAGATATACTCGTATACTTTTCACTTTTCTACGTTGAAACTTGAAAGCAGAAGATGGCAAATGCCCACGAGTTCATATCAAATTTTCCCGACAAATACCAAACGAGTGTGGGTGGACGTGGATTAAGGCTTTCTGGTGGTCAGAAACAGAGAATAGCAATCGCGAGAGCTCTACTCATGAACCCACGGGCTCTACTTCTGGACGAGGCCACAAGTGCCCTTGATGCAGAAAGCGAATTTCTTGTTCAGGTATATTCTCCACAAAGTACAGATTCTTATGTTCTTGGAGATCCCCATTATAATAATCTCGGAGTGGTTGCAGGATGCCATGGACTCTCTAATGGAAGGGAGGACAGTACTTGTGATAGCTCATAGGCTTTCAACCGTCAAAACTGCAAACACCGTAGCAGTGGTCTGTGAAGGGCAAATAGTTGAGAGTGGCAGTCACGACGAGCTTCTCAGCAAGGATGACGGCGTTTATACAGCACTCGTGAGGAGGCAGTTGCAGGCACCCAAAGACGGTTAAGGAGCGAACACTTACCATGGGTATCTATACCACCATTGTAAAGTAATGTAACAAAAATAACAACTTTATAAACAATGCAAAGAGGTCTTTTTACAATTAAAAATAACTTCAGTCAAACCTCGTTAACCGAACCAGACGCATAAAATGGGACCAAACCAGTCAGTTCTTCATGTAAAATTTTATGCTTTTAGTCCACCACAGCCAAACCCAATATGACAATTGAATACGTAAATTGAAGCAGAAACACATATTCGTTATGCAAGAATAGGGCAATAGAGAACGGCCAACAGAAAGGATAGGAAGTATACCTTAAGGACAATTAGCCCCAAGAACACGGTAGTTTCATTTGCATCACGAGAAAGAATTGAGAATAGAACTCGTGCTAGTATGCTAGTGACTCCATATACGATTTGATGTTCATAATATCTTCTTTGGACTGTTGATACTGTGGTGGTTTGAAAAGCTTCCACATCCCGGTTGGATGTCCAACTTTGACTCTAACATCTCCCGCGAGTCTCCCATACATACTTTCACACTCGGGATAAGGCTTGACATAGAGATTGTAAAATTTCAATCTACTAGGTTTAATTAAGGCCCTCAACCCCACCTCGTCACCAAGCCCGCCTTTCGATCTCAAATACTCAATGACCTTAAATCTGGGAACAACCTGTTTCTCAAAATTCACCCCCAAGTATTCTGGAACATCGATTAGGGACTCGATATCGAATTTCATTGTCTCCCCCAAAAACCGAATTTTCCTCTCAATTTCCCCTATCTCGTACAAAATTGCTCTTGGCTCTTTCCATAGCACACTGTAAGCATCTCTATATGTTAAACCGTGTTTGTGCAGGCAATCAACTCTCAACTTCACTCGATACCCGGCCCTGAATGCTCCATCTCGAAAAATCTCATCCTTAACCGGGACTCTACATTTCAAACTCCTTAGTAGTTTCAAGCAATGAGAAAGCTGGCCAGCTTCTAACCCAAGAATTCTCGGATCTCTCGTAACCTCCCTCCTAACTATATCCAAGCCAAAACCAAGACTCTTAAATTCATTGAGCAATGGCTTAAGCCTGTTCTCAATTCCAAATGCTAATACACCTGGGTATGACCCAAGAACACAATCAACCTCAGTCCTTTCAATGCCAATACCACTCATCAAGAATTCAACTTTACCCTGAATTCTATCCGGACTAGTCATTACCACTTCAGGGAATTCTTCTAAAACCCTAATCACAGTACCCTCATTAAACCCTAAACCCTGCAAACACTTCAAACACGCCAAAGCATCATCTGGGTCTAGCTCAAACTTCAAACAAACTTGCAGAACATTCTTAATAGCCAATACAGAAAGATTAAAACCCTGAATTCCAGACATTACCTTTTCCCATTTCTTCATATACTCGTAGTCTAACACCCTAGGGCAACTAGCAACCAGAGAAGTAAGAAATTGTTGAGAGCGGCCCAGAGAAAACAGAATTTGAAGGGATTTTCCAACTTTAGAGGGGTCAGAATTCAGCAAAGATGGATTCTTGGCAAGGAAATGATGGAGTTCAGATAGTGGAAACCCATACCTCTTGAGAAGACTATAAATGGGTATAAGATTTCTTTGGGGGGATTTTTGATTGTAGTCGAGAGGAAATTGAATTTGGGAATTCAGTTTTGCGGCTCTGGGTTTTGCTGAGAAGTGTCGAAGATGAATAGAGTTAGAGAATTTGGATGTTGGAGCTAAAAGAGATCTAAGAGTCCCAACTGCCATGCGAATGAGTTAGAGAATACTGTTGGACGCTGGCTCAAATGCAAATGCCCGAGTGCCTGGCCTCCTTTACACAACACTCTCAAATCTCAATCCCAAATTCCCAATCTAAACCTCAATCTAAAAGAATAAGGATTAAATAGGTCATCAAAGTACACACTAAAATTACAATTAAATTATTAAATTTAAAAAAATAACAATTGAATTTCTGAACAATATAAATTTTACAATTTAATTTAAAATGACTTATTTACCTTTTAAAATGATGATGTGTCGATTTTTTTATTTTAAAATAATTTTTAATGAAATAAATATTTTAAATTTATTAAAAAAAAAAAAAAAAAACAGCTGGCCGGCCAGCCATGGAGAACCTTTCGTCTCCATGGCTGGCCGGAGGCGAAGGGGTCCCCTTCGTCTCTGGCTTCATCCAGCCATGGAGACGAAGATATCGTATATAGAATGCCACTATCTCATATTGTATTACTCTTCAAAAAATCAGTGTTTGTACATGATCAATTATACGTTGTTGCTTCAAGAGTTAACAGTCCAAGTGGCTTGAAGATTTTGATTTGTAATGAAGGTGAAACGAATTGTACCTCAATTACAAATGTTGTTTATTATGAGGTGTTCAATAATTTGTAATTTTAATTAAATTTTAAATGATGTTATACATGCCTTACCTTTCAAATTAACAACTTCTCCTTTTAGTAATACATATACAAAGATTAACTTTAATGTTAAAGTTACTTAAATTATTACTAAAAATTTTCACAATTAATAATTTTTACAAAAAAATAACTTTAATGTTAAAATTACTTAAATTATTACTGTATAAGTAACATCCGTACATTGCACGGGTAAAATACTAGTTTCAATAATAATATTCTATATCATCAATAATAAATGCATATTTTATAAAATAGTAAAGGTAAACTAAAAATGAAACAAAAATTTAAAATGAAACGGAAACATTTCAATAATAATATTCTACATCATCAAATAAAAATAGAACGAAAATTAGGTAAAAATATCACTGCATCCATATTCTAATTAACTAATTGACTTGAAATAAAAAAGGATAATTGACTGAAAATGAATCTAATATTACTAATTGACTAAAAATATAAAGGGAGATGAATATTAATAATTGATAGCAAATAAAAAATGATCCATAATTGACTAAAAAAATGGTCAAATGAATTGCACTTTAATTAAAAATGGAACAGAAATTAAAAATTGGACGAAAATATTTCAACAATAATATTCTACATTACATCATCAATAGTAAATGCATATTTTAAACAATAGTAAAGGTAAATTAAAAATGGAACGAAAATATTTCAATAATAATATCTATATCATCAATTAAAATGGAACGAAAATTAGGTAAAAATATCACTACATTTGATATTCTAATTGACTAATTGCCTGAAAATAAAAAAGAATAATTGACTAAAAATGAATTTGATATTACTAATTAAGAGAAAATTACACTTTTGGTCCTATGACTATAGCAGAGGTGGTAATTTCAGTTCGTGACTTTTAAAACTAACAGATTTAGTCCTTTTAGTAAGCTTTTTTTGACACATTGAGTCCTTCCGGCTAATTTGCCGGTAGAAATCCGCCGGAATTGCGATTGGAGTTGTTTATTAATTGTTTGGGAGGGGTAAAATCGTCCGTTCAGGCCATAGAAAAGGGGGGGGGGGGAAACGGATTCCCATTTCCCACCTTAATCAACCTCCACGCAACCCTAATTTTGTGTGAAAGTAGCGGGAAGACAGCAGAGAAGCGCGAAGACAGTGTGGAAGAAGGAAGAAAGCGGGAACAAAGAGAACTCTTCACTTCGCCTACTGCAATGCGTAAATCATTGGCGACTGGAACGGGTTCTGCCCCAAATACGCTCCAACGAAGTAAGTTTGAATAATTTGTAACTGTTTGAATTGTATGAATTTTATAGTGAATGAGTTTGTGTTGTTTGTGTGGAGTGTTTTTTGTGGAGTTGTATGGAAGTTAAGCATTTCTAGGGTTTGCCGTGTGGGTTATATATGCATAAAGCATAAAGGAGTTTGTACTCGTGTCTTGTGTCTTGTAATGTGGGGACCATTTTCTGTAGTGGTATGTTGTTTATTATTGTTAGTATGAATTTTGATGAGTATGGGAAAGTGTTGTAGTGGTCTGTGGGGACCAATACTACTGTTGTAGTTACTGATTCTTGTCATGTGCATATATAGGGTTTAGGAAACATTGTTGTTATTCTGTGGGGACCATTATGTTTAAACTTTTTGTGCATATACTCTGTTGACTGTTGGCTTTATAGGAGCTGGTGTTGGCCCATTTGAAGTTGTCCTTTTCCATAATGGGATAGTAAATAGGGTTGGTGAAGTTAAATACTTGGGTGGTGATGTAGAACTGTATGAAAGGATGGAAGCTAATGAAGTGTGTCTAGATGTGTTGAAGGATAAGATAAAACAGTTAGGGTATAGTGAGGTTGGTGCCCTGATTTATTGTTATTGGAATGATAGTTTGAAGTTGCTACAATCAGACAATGATCTTATACCTATATTGAATGAGGTCAACCCAAGTAAAATGTTGGAGTTTTGGGTTGAAACAATGGATGAGCAGGACTTGATTGAAGCTGATATGGAAGTACTGGAGCCAGAAAGTGATTGGGAAGATGAGATTGAGGTACAGAGATTGGGGGTAGCTGAGCAGGTTGATGTAGGGACTAGGGATGATGGCCAAATTGTTGATTTCACTGTACAGGATGATAAAGTAGATGAGCATTTGGATGTAACTCAAACAAAGAAAAAGGTTAAGAATTTGGATGACATCTTCTTTTCTGATGAGGAGTCAGTAGTGGATTCTGATAGTGATGGTGATGGGGAAAGCAAATGGCCCATATTTAGAGCTGCAACAGACATGAAAGACCCCCATTTCACTTTAGGCATGACATTTTGTTGGTCCCAAAAGAGGTAGGGTGAAAGTCTAGAGGAGGGGGGGGGGGGGTGAATAGACTTTCAAACTTTTTCGCACAGCACAACAAATGTTAAGACAGAGATAAACCAAAACTCATAACTAGATTGTTAGAGTATGGTGTACAGCGGAAATAAATAAACATAAAGTGTGTGTGAGATTGTGTGAGCAGTATATCTTCGTGAGAGCAAATATATAAAGAGCAGTATGTAAAGAAAAAAGTAAAGAACACAAGACAATTATAGTGGTTCGCGAGGTGGCGTAATCCTCCTACTCCACTTGCTCTTTTCTCCAAGAGCCAATTCGCTATATCTACCACTCCTTGGTTCCAAGATACAATGAATTTCCGTGATCTAGTGTTTTGATCACAAAGCCCGCACTAATCACGCCCAGTGACACCACACTGCTGCTTCGGGTTTCACGTCGCCGCGCTACTATCCCAGGATTTCACGATTCCGCGTTACTTTTCCCCCGTCTTCCACACTGCGGTAGAAACGTATCCCGTGATCTGGTGCTTTGATCACCAAGCCCACACCAATCACGCCCAGTGCCTCCGGCACTGCTGCTTCGGATCTCACAGCTTTGTGTGACAATCCAGGATTTCACAGCTCCGTGCTACTTTCCTCCCTTCTCTTGTTTTGCTTCAAAACAAGTGTTGTCTTGCTTCCAACTTCTGAGACTCTGTAGATGATCTTCAATGATGCGCAGGTCTCTTTGATGAAGATAAACACTCTGGAATGATTTCTCTTGATAGCTCTGAGTGTTTTCTCTCTTTGAATATATCAAGTAAAGCACTTGATATTTTTGCTCTGCTTTGCTCTGTTTAAGAACTCTCAGAATATTTCTCTTTTAAAGCTCTCTGAGTTCTTTTTCTTTTCTCACTTCTCACTTGAAGATTTTTGGTATGCTCTGTACCAAATGAGATTTTTGCTCTATGCTCTTTCAAGCTTAATTGCTCTATTCGATCCCTTTTATGGATTCGAATTTTCTGCTCTTTTGTTCGTGATCTTCAAGTCTTCATATCTTCATCTTTTTATAGCTGGTAATGAGAATCTGTCCGTTGGAAAGAGACGCTCTCATTTTTGAAATCTTGTATCTTTTTGTCAGAGATCTTATCTTATCTTCTGCAAAGATGTCAGAAAGGATAAACTAGCCGTTGTTAGAGCTTCATCTCCATGTAAATGGGTTCTCAAACTTCATATGATATTTCCTCTGGTTTTACGTTGAGTGGGAATATCTGGGTGTAGATTGGCTTCTCTGATTAGCTCTGAAGTGGTCATTGTATCTTTGGGATTTAAAAATATTCATCAATTTAATCCCATACTAGTTAAACTAGTATTTTTCCTTGTGAGAATATTTTCACTGTAAGTTCATCTTCATCTTCTTCATTCTCACGTCTGGGTGTTCTCAGACTTCAAACTGGCTTTGAACTTCCACCCAATTTGAATTTCTCATTTGTAATTGACACCCAATTCAATTGGCTTGTAATTGGCACCCAATTTGAATTCCTCCATTGTAATTGGCTCCCAAATTCAATTTCTCAGACTTCAAACTGGCTTTGAACTTCCACCCAATTTGAATTTCTCATTTGTAATTGACACCCAATTCAATTGGCTTGTAATTGGCACCCAATTTGAATTTCTCCATTGTAATTGGCACCCAATTTGAATTTCTCCATTGTAATTGGCTCCCAATTCAATTGGCTTGTAATTGGCACCCAATTTGAATTTCTCCATTGTAATTGGCACCCAATTTGAATTTCTCCATTGTAATTGGCTCCCAAATTCTCACGTCTGGGTGTTCTCAGACTTCAAACTGGCTTTGAACTTCCACCCAATTTGAATTTCTCATTTGTAATTGACACCCAATTCAATTGGCTTGTAATTGGCACCCAATTTGAATTTCTCCATTGTAATTGGCTCCCAATTGACTTTGACGCTCCCAATTGACTTTGACTTGCAATTGGCGCTCCCAATTGACTTTGACTTGCAATTGGCTCCCAACTGCTGCTTCCCAATTTGATTTCAGAAATTTCAATCTGCTGCTTCCCAATTTGATTTCAGAAATTTCAATTGCTTTGAACTAGCTCCCAATTC